GTGTGTTCCTTCAGGGGCTCAGCGGCGGTCGAGTGGCGGTGCGGTGACGGCCGTGCGGCTCATGGCGACGGAGAGCAGTGCCGCCTTGGGTGGGGGCGGGGCGGTGTCCGCCATGATAGAGGCCGGGCTGCGAGAGGCCGACCAGCAGGTCAGACGAGCGAAGAGAGACAGCGAGAGGGGGCGGGGCGGTGGTGAGAGCGAAGGAGTGACGGCCGGCGAAATGGAAACGGACTGAGTGCCTTGACAGATTTGTGTGTGTGGATCTGTCCAGTCAGGACGTTTATGTGTTTGGTTTGTTGATTGTGTTGACAGCTGTGGTCTGACAGTCCATCCACTGTGGGTCTCCATCACTCACACACACATGGATCGCCGCCGGCAAGTTATCCATCCATCGGCACGTCAGCTGACATCAGCCACACTCACCCGCACACACAGCCACATCGACACAGCCAGCCCATTCGGTGTGTCGCCCTCCTCTGTGTGTCCCCGCCGCACACTCACAAAGGAAAGGCAACACGCCACACAGCGATGCAGCTGAAGAGATCTCTTGGGCGAGATACACACATAGTGACCGTCGGGAGCAGAGGGGCGGGAGCAAAGCAATGAGTATGACGTGGGTATGCCGACATCGCACTCATCCACAGACAGACAGACAGACAGACAGACACATACGCAGCCCATCACGGCGGGCCTTCCCTGATTCAGTCGATGTGTGTTGGCATCATGATGCAGCCGCCCACCAGCCACTTGACGGGCCACCACAGAGACGCCTTCGCCACACCGCCCTGGGCCGTCGGCTTTGTCGCCTTTGGCCCCTTCTGTCTGTGGGGTGTGGCCATTCCCTCCCTCTCGACCAGCCCATCCGCCCAGAGACGCACAATGGGGCCGCGGACGGGCGGCGTCTCGATTGGCTTGACGCGGGACGCCGAGGCTCTCGCATCCATTTCGGGCACCACACCCACCATCGGCCGCACAGCGACCTTCATGGAAACAGAGAGAGGGAGGGGGGAAGGGAGGGAGACGCAGTCATGTTGGTTGGCAGGATGGTGTCTCGATGTGCCGCAGTTACCTGTTTGTAGTGCGTTTCCGCGGTGGTGAGGCTGGCCATGTGTCCAATGGCCTTTTTGGCGTACACGAGCGCCTCGACCTTGACGCGCTCGTCCGGCATCAACACCGACAGAAACGGGTGGTCAATCTGTACGGCGGACACAGAGGGAGAGGGGCGATGCCGTCCGTCTGTCTCCCCTCTGATGTGTGTGGATGACTCACCTTGAAGACCTCTGCGACGTCTTTGAGCGCTCTATACCTTTCGAACATCGCCGGCGGCCAATAAGCCAACGCACACACGTACTCCTCGGCACCTTCCTGTGAGGCACATCCACCCAACACACAAAGTGACATTCCATCAGTGCAAAAAGGCATCCCTTATCTCTCTCTCTCTCTCTCTGTGCAGTGCAGTGCATTACCTCATATGCGTCGCAGAGGGCCTCCGCCTCGTCGTCCATGACGCCCCGCTGCACGAGATACCGCCAGATGGACTTGCGCTTCCGGCCGCTCACGCGGCCCGTCGACGGGCCGCCATAGCCGTCGTCATGGGCATTCTCCTCCAGCATCAACCCACCCGACATAATGACAGCTCAAAGGCCGATGATGAGCGGTTGATGATGAGACCAACGAGGGGACAGCAAATGAGACAGAAAGTGGGACTTGAGTGGCACTGTGCGACTGAAGGGCTGAGAGCAACACGGAATAATCGAATGTGATCGTGGAGCAGAGCACCAGAAAGACGTTCTTTGATGCCGCAAGGAGATATCAAAAGCCTTTTTCACTGTCAGTGTTTCGCGGCCAGGGTGGGGGCATGAAGTCTCGAAACGCATGCAACCACGGTGAGCGACAAGTCCCCCCCTTCTGCGCCCTCTCTGTCTCGCGTCAAGCCATTCGACCCATCTGTGATCGCTCCCCGCCCTCTCTCGTGACTACAATGTACTACGCTCTGCCCAGCCCCACCAACAGCTCGGCCAGCTCCGTCTGCGGCTTCGAGACGGAGTACCACGCCGCCCCGGCCCATGGCCAGATGAGCGGAGCCGCCCTCCTCGACTTCATCGAGGCTCTGGGGTGGACCGACCCCCTGCAGCAGCAGGAGCTGGTCAACGCCATGACCACCTTCCGGGGTCGGCTCACCCCAGTCACCGGCAGCAGCAGCACACTGAGGAGCGCATTTGAGGAGGTGGATGACGTGGAGATATTCGGGATATCCGAGGACGTAAGAGCGCTGCACAGACCAGGGCAGACAAGGCGAGAATCATTCACATTGCATGCAGTGCAGAAACACTGATATATGGGGCTGCATGCTGCTTATCCGTCGGCCTGATGAAATATGTGCGATCTTGTGTGGTCTGCTCTGTGTGTGTGCAGGAGCTGGCCGAGGACAAGCCGGGTGAGGTCCCATCCCTCAAGATCTCAGCAAAGCTGACCGACAAGGTAAAATACTCTTGCCCCCATACACACGAACGCCTTCGCACAACGTGTGCACACACAGCATGCAGCCATGTGTGTCGTTCTCTCTTGGCCGTTGTGCTTGTGTGTGCAGAGCGAGACTCAGTGTGAGGCGGCGGCGAAGTTCTCCTGGGTGAATCCTTTCACCTGGTTCGCCGCCTGCCTCACCCCAGTCTACTGCTGAGAAACATGGTTGCTCGCTGGTGTCGGCTATCCACGCCAAGAAGCCCGCCGTGTGTGTCTCACATATACACAATTGTATATACATGTTGGGATGGATGGATGGATGGATGGGCGTCAGGTGACAGCTGTGGGTGTGTGGATGGCAGGCAGGCAGGGGCTGTGAGGAATGCACGTGTATCCCTTTGTCTGTCCATCGCCACTCACCTCACTGACACCGAAGTGTCCTACCTCGCACTCTATGGTATCCCATCGCTCGTGTTTTCGAGCGCGCTCTCTGTGGTTGTTTTGCTCTGATCCCAATGCCGTGTCGCCACTACCTGATGTCGTTCTATCGGATACGGCTCGTCTGCTCCGTTCCGTGCAGGGCAGCTAGGACAGGCCGATCGCTGAGAGAGTTCGTGAGACCAGCTGGCACGATCATGTACGTACAGAAGGAAGGTGAGACAGATGCATGCGAGCGATTCGTCGGCTTTCTCGCATCGATCGGCTTGTTGTCCGTCCAACAAGTGGGAATACATCGCCTGCCTGACAAGTGGGAATCAACTCATTTGTGTCTGTGATGGAATGGAATGGAATGGAATGGAATGGAAGTGATGGATGGATGGCCTTATGGATGGAGTGAGTGTGTGTGTGTGAATGCTGTCTCCCTCTTGTCCTGCGTGTGGTGTCGGTGTGCGGCTGCCATGCGCGTGAGGTGACGGACAGACAGATGCGAGTTAGGCTAGCTGCGACAGACAGACCAAGAAACATGGTGTACGGCGGAGGGATGGTGTACAATTGCATGCGATTGGGTGTGATCATGGAGAGCATGGGACCGACCGACCATGCCGACGTGTGCGTGTGCAGTGCAGTCCATGTCATGTGTGTGACTGACGCATACACACATACTTGCTGCCTGCCTTCATGTCAAGCTTTGATGCTTGCCAACCGTTGATTGCTCCATTGTCCACACGCACACCGCAACACAACAAAAACTCTCATCAAACGGATCTCTCATTGAACCAGCCAAAATGGCTCGGCTCACGCTTCATTTCGCAGACCACACCAATTGCCGCTTACTTATATCAGAAGTACTGTGGCAATTGACGCGGGAAGGCCACACCGGGCGGACCTAGCGTCCTGCACGACCACCGCACACACACAGAGGAGTGAGAACGATCGGTGCGGTGTGGTTTGTCCGTGCCGTCCAGGCCTGCTCACCATTTCCATGATCGCAGGCTCACCACAAACTCGCCTGAGTGAGTGAGGCCAACGGACACAGACAGAGAAGGGACACAGAAATGATGCGATGGGCGCCGGTGGTCACACAGTCCACACGTACGTCACACATGCCGACCTTTGTAGAGCGATCCCGACCCCTGTGAAAGTTTGTCAAACAGCGTCCTCGCCGTCTCCTTGTCTATCGTCTCAGCGCCGATCTGCGCGGCACAACACACACACAGCACACACATACACTGCCTCCTACTCACCCACTCACTCACCGACTGACTCACCACTGCATTGACTTTTTGCCTGGTGTTTGCGTCCGGCGTGCCGTAGGACGTCGGCAGCCCCTGTGATGCCGCAATCTTGTTGAACTCCTGACAGACAGATTTGGATGGATGGATGGCAGACACACATCAACCAAGCCACCATTGATGTGATGTGTGAATGGCTGCCGGTCCGTCTGTGTGTCGGTTTGGGCGCCCAAATGACATGACATGGCTAGGTACCCTACCTACCGTCATCATGACAGGCTTGCACTCGAGCTTCCGTGTCTTGGGGTCAAACAGCGTGACGAGGGGCCACTTGAAGTCCAGGCCGCTCACCTTGTTGCCGAACTCCTGCTTGCTCAGCACCTGCTGCTGACCGTACAGCTGATGGATGAACAGATGACAGTCAGGCATTACCACAGCAGATAAGAGATGGATGGATGGATGGACTATAGCCAGCCCTCACTCACTGACTCACTCACCCTGTCGACTGCATCTCTGCTGATTTGGAACTCTGCTGGCGGGAAGGTGCCGAGGCAGTCGACAGCTGACAGCCTCCCGATGATCTTGATGATCTCCACCACCGGCACCTAATTGACACACACGCGCACACGGACACGCAGATAGACAGACGGGCGACAGACATGCTGTGTGCCCGTGGGTGAGTGCATTCAGTGCACTCAGTGCATGCGCACCCCATAGGCCAGGGTCGAGTGTGCTCGGCCGTGAAGGGTGGTCCTCCCCTCCAGCCGCCGGCCGCCCTCCACACATGCAAAGTGCCGAAAGGCCTTCCTCCTCCTGCGACCAATTTCCGATGCTGCAAACCAAACACCCAGAAAATGATCAAAGGAACGCACGTTGGCTGACGTCGATCTGCCTGTTGTGTCCTGACATCACCATGGCTGCAGGTGAGTGCGACGACAGATGCGAGGAAGGCAAGAGCAGCCTTCATGATGCGTTTGTGATTGCGGTCAGTCTTGACGGGCAAACGGCTCCTCTCGGAACAGCCTGCAGGCCTCAAACCCCTTACCTTTTTCTCCTGCTGTTTGAGATCGGCCTGCGAGCTTAGCTTGCTGGAGAGAGAAGGGAAAGTGCCGCTGCGAGGCAGTCCGTTGAGCTGTACTGCGCCTGGAATTTGGCGGAAAGCATCGCTCCGTTTGATTGATTGCCGTTTTATCTATCTCGCCCCGGATCTCGTACGCGTCGGTGTTCAGTGTGCCGAGGTGAGGAAGAAGATGGCGCAGCCATCGCCCAAGAAGGTGCTGCTGATGGGCCGCGCGGGAGCGGGCAAGACGTCGATGCGGTCCATCATCTTCGCCAACTACCTGGCTCGGGAGACGAAGCGCTTCACCTACACGAACCACGTGGAGCAGTCGCATCTGCGGTTCCTGGGCAACCTGATCTTGTCGCTGTGGGACTGCGGCGGGCAGGACACCTTCATGGAAAACTACTTCGAGAGCCAGCGGGAACACATCTTCCGCAACTGCGAGGTGCTCATCTACGTCATCGGCCTCTCACCCGCCACCATCGACATCGCCCTCAAGTCCAGCGGCGGCAACGAGCCCTCCGGCGCGCAGAGCAAGCCGCCGGCGACGACCAAGGAGTTCGAGAAGGACTTTGTGTACTGGAAGCAGACGGCCGAGTCCATCAGGCAGTTCTCCCCGTTCGCCACGGTGTTCTGCCTGGTGCACAAGATGGACCTGGTCAAGGAGCAGGACCGAGAGCGGGTCTTCGCCTTCTATGACGGCGAGCTGCGGCGGCTGGGCGGCGACCTCAGGCGCATCCAGACCTTCGCCACGTCGATATGGGACGAGACGCTGTTCAAGGCCTGGTCCGACATCGTCAACTGCCTCATCCCGTATGTCAACGTCCTCAACGCCCACCTCAAGCACTTCTGCAGTGTGGCGCAGGCCGACGAGGTCGTGCTGTTCGAAAAATCCACATTCCTGGTCAGGCACTAGAGTGAGAGGGCAAGCCGTCGGCTGGCTAACACAGTGTCTGTGTCTGGGTGTGGGTGTGGGTGTGGGTGTGTGTGTGCAGGTGATAGCATCTGCCAGCGACGAGCACCACAAGGATCCCCATCGCTTCGAGAAGATCTCCAACATCGCCAAGCAGTTCAAACTCACCTGCGGCAAGTCACAGGCCAGCCACACACACACTCACACACACACACACACAGAGACAGACAGACACACAGACAGACATTGCACTGTAAACCGTGTATCTGTGTAAGCCTGCCGGGGTGTGTGTGTGTGTGTGTGGTGTCAGGCCAACTTCACGACCCTGACGGTGCAGAATTCCTTCTTCCGCGCCTTCATCGACAAGTTCACCGACAACACATACATCATGGCCATCATCACCAACAAAGGTCAGTCAGTGCTGGCCTGGCGGTGGGGGCAGCCAGGCAGGGGACGGACTGACACACGGACAGACAGATCTGTGTACCTAGATATCTCATGGGCGGTCCATGTATGTCTGTGTGCTCTCAGAGGTTCCGTCCGCCGCCGTGCTGATCAACATCGATCTGGCCAGGTCGCACTTTGACCGAATCGCCGCCAGCATGCCGTCAGGGCCCACACTGTGAATGATGTGCCTGTCTGATGAGGGTTTGGGGGAGGTGAGCTGCACACACCGTGTGTGTGCCGTGCTGCTTCACTCTCACTCACTGATTGCAAAACGTGTATATGGATTCACCGACTGAGGCTGCCGCCCCGCCGGGTATTTTTGCCGGCCATCAGGTAGGTAGGAAGGATGACTGACTGACTGACTGACACCTGCAGGCAGCAGATCGGTTCTCACTGTCCATGCTGGCTGCGTGAATGAATGACACTTGTACACTCTGACTGACTGCATCCCTCTGTGGAATTATCATCATTCACTGCCTCTCAGCGGCACTGCCGTCTCCCTCCCTTCGTTACACGTGACGCTCTCTAAATCACCACTGAGCGCGGATCTCTGACGGCCATTATTTGCATCTTGTGGAGCCGCATTGTGTGAGAAGGGGACGATCAGGTCAGGCGGTGGTGGTGTGGTGACGGTGACAAGCGCAGCGTGGCGTTGGGTGGCGATCCATGGGGGATAAGACGAGCACGGTCTTGTACGGCGTCCCACCCTCCGTCTTTGTCAGCAGCGACCTCATCAAGGGCAGCAACCTCACACACCACATCCTCAGCCCGCCATCCAAAGCACAGCAGGACATGACGGAGTCCACCACTACCGAACACGAGACGGAGCAGACAGACAACCACCACACCGAAGGCGCCACCAACGGGGCGACACAGCAGGACAGCCAGCAGGACCACCAGCCACAGGGCCAGTATGATGTGGTGATTGTGGGAGCAGGCCCCAGTGGCCTCACTCTGGTGAGCAACAGAAGCACTGCACTGGAGTGGGCGGCTGATCTCTCTCTCTCTCTGTGTGTGTGCGTCTGTGTATGTGTGTTTGTCAAGGCTGCTGATTTGGCCCGTCGCGGCGTCCGGTTTTGCGTGTTGGACAAGGATGACCGCGAGATGCCCATCAGCAGAGGGGTGTGCTGCCACGCAAGAACACTCGAGCTATTCGAAAGTGAGCCGCTGACTAAGGGGGATGGCTGAATGACAGCAGGGAGGGAGCCTCTCGCTCTGCGTGTGTGTGTGTGTGTGTGCATCTATCTGCACAGGCTTGGGTGTGGTGGACGAGATGATGGCCAAAGGGATGGAGATCACAGGGGAGAGACTGTTCGTCGACGGCTCCGTCGCCCTCGACTGGTCGGCGTCCCACCGACAGCAACGCAAAGGACACACACACACACACGCATGGCTTCTTGAGTTTGCCGCGGTGTGGTGTGGTGTGGTTGCTGTGACTGTGCAGGAGCTACGACCGTGTCGACTCGCCCTACCCCTTTCCATTCCTCGTCCCCCAGTGCGACATCGAGACCATCCTGGCTTCCAAGATCCCCCCACAAGACATCATCCGCCCCGTCAGAGTCGACGCCATCAGCATCGGCACACTCCCAGATGAGGGCGTCGGCGTCACCCTCACACCTCTCCGCAGCAGCACCAAGGGCAAGGGCAAGGATAGGCAGCGCGCTAAGGGAGAGGATGGTGAGAACGGTGCGCCGACTGAGGTGGGCGGGGATGAGGGCGGCCAGCGGATTGAGAGGAGGGACGACGCACTGGTTCCCTCTGGGCCATCTCGGACCATCACGGCCAAATACATCGTCGGCGCAGACGGCGCACAGGTGAGAATGCCGCCGATTAATCACTCACCACACGATTGTTTCCCTGTCTGTCTGTCTGTCTGTCTCTTCCTCCTTCAGTCTGTCGTCAGAAAAGCCATGGGCGTGGGGTTCCACGGCACCACCCTGCCCTTCGAGCTCATCGACTGCGACGTGCGCATGCAGTGGGGCGTGCCCCGCGAGAAGACCCGCACCAAGTTCAACCTCCTCACAGCAGAGGGCAGGATGGTCTTGGGGGTGGCGCTGTCCGACGACCGATGGCGGCTGGTGACCACCCGCCCCCTCCCCACCAGCAATCCATACGAGCTCCTCGACCCCGCTTATCGCCCTCTGCCATTCACCAAGGAGGAGCTGGAGAAGGCCGTGTGCCAGGCGGTGCCCGGGACGGAGATCTATGAGATTATGTGGGGCGACGCCTTCTCCATCAACTCGCGTGTGGCCGAGAGCTTCCAGCTCGGCAACGGCTTCCTCTGCGGAGATGCGGCACACCTCTCACCGCCTATTGGTCGGCCGAAACACCCACATGGACAGATGGATGGATGGGACGTTTGAGGGAGTGGTGCCAGCCACTCGTATGTATGTTCTGTCTGTCTGTTTGCAGCGTATCAGGGTCTGAATGTGGGCGTGCAGGACGCCATGAACCTCTCGTGGAAGCTCGCCCGCGTGGTTCGCGGGACGGCCTACTCGTCACTGCTCGAGACGTATCAGGCGGAGCGAAAACCGATCGACGGTCAGTCAGTCAGTCAATCGAGACACGCCTTCACACCTAGGGCCGTGTCATGACTGCGTGTGTGTGTCTGTGCATGGCCCTGTGTGCAGAGATCATTGTGAGGAACACATCTCGGGGATACAAGGAGCTGGTGGAAGCCAAGCCACGTGAGATCTCCATCCATCCATCCATCCGCCCACTCACCCAACCGTGTACATGTGTGTGTGTGTGTGTGTGTGTGTGCAGAGGGCCTCACCCATTGGCTTCTGAAGAACGTCCTCCCGCGCATCTTCGGGCTCAAGAGCGTCGGCAGGCACCTGAGCAAAGCCATATCAATGACCTCACAGAAATACCCCCACTCCGAGTGAGACAAGACAGACACAGGCAGACAGACAGGCAGACACACACAGACAGCCGGGCACACCCACCCCACTCAGCCGAAGCAAGCAGCCGCGACGAATGCATCGATGGCATGCTCCCTCCCTCCTCTGTCTGTCTGTCTGTCTGTCTGCAGGACGCATATGACCCTGACGGGCCCGGCGATGATGCCGAAGGCGGTGGAGCCGGGGTCGAGAGCACCTGACGCGCGAATCGGGCTGGTCAGCCAGACACACATTGGCCTCTACACATTCCCTCCCCACATTCCCCTCTACGGCGAGTGCGTGTGTGTCTCAGTTGCGCGAGAACCGTGTATCGTTCCAGGGCCGTCTGCACCAGCTGTACGCGTCGCCCCACTTCACGCTGCTGCTGACGGCGCGCATCCCCGACCCCAAGCCGCCCTCCAACAACGGGCTCATCTGCGGCTGCTGCGACATCTGCATGGACGGCGCCAACATGTACTCCGGCACCTACCCACAGGCAGCCGACTCTGCCAGTGAGCCAGATGGACACACAGAGGGCTGAGTGACGGACAGCCCTCTCTCTCTCTCTCTCTCTCTGTGTGTGTGTGTGTGTGTGTACGTGTGTGTGTCAGTGGGTCGGTGTCTGCTGCAGATGGTGCGTTTGGCTGACGACGTGGTGCGGCGGCTGGGGTGCCCCAAGAGCGAGCCCAAGGGCGGCGCCAGAGTGATCGTCGTATTCACCGCCGGAAAGGTGAGGCAGAGACATCCATCCATCCATCCACCGATACCCACCCACCCACGCGCACCAACACACCCTAGATACACGCGTGTGAGTGTCTGTGTGTGTGGGTGGTGGTGGGTGCGTGTGCAGCCGGCCATCGTGCCGACCAATGCGAGCGGTGAGGGTCTGGCTGAAGTCCTCAAGGACGTCAAAGCCAAGTTCCAAGTCTCGTAAGCGACTCTACCGCACCGCCACACACATACACGTGCCCCATGCGTGTCTATTTGTGTGCGCGTGCGCGCGTGTGTGTTCAGCATTGGGTGTCGGTGCCCCACATTCGACTTGGAGGTCGGGTGGGACATGGACGGGGAGGTCATGGATAAGTACAGGGTGCCGCTCAAGCCCAAGACGCACCCCGGGGCCTGGTTCTTCATCCGACCCGACGGCTACATCTCCCACCACGGTATGCCATCCCACGCACGCACGCACGCGTCAACAAACAGGGCGGCAGGAGTGATTGCGGGTGTGTGTGTGTATGTGTGTATATGTGTGTGTGTGTGTGTGTGGGTGATTAACAAACAGGTTTTGCGGGCGACCATGTGGCTGAGCGCCACCTCACCGACTGCCTCACCCACTACTTCTGACCATTCATTCTGACTCACTCACTTGTGTGATCGAACCCGTGTGTGTTGTAGCCCATCCATCTCCTTTATCTCTTTTGTCCACCCTCTCGGCTGCCTGCCCTGCAGAGGAACGAGGGGCGCGGCCCTGAGATCTGTCGCTTGCATGGCAGGGTGGAGACGAACACAACTCTCTCACCTTGCCGCGACAGACTCCATGGCTGTGCCCTTGCAAGCACGTGGGTGGGTGAGAGAGAAGGCCCCGAAGACGGCTGTGGGCCCTTTGCTTACTTTTTTTTGTTTACTTGCTGATGGAGACAGAGCAGAGAGAGAAATGGGGTGGCATGGCTTTGTGGGTCTTAAGAGGAATGGGCAGGCGTTCGTCTGTGCGTGTGAGTGTCGGCTGGCTGCGTAGAAAGAAGACCTGTTTGTATGCAGCCTCCCTCCCGCTCGCACCGCACACCTCTTTATGGGGTTTTGCGTCACCTGAATGAGTGAGTGATCTGTGTGTGTGTGCAGCTGTAGTGTGCCCCCGTCCGCCGCCACCGTGTCTGTCTCTCTGAGTGTGTCTGTGTCCGTATCTCTCTCACGCACCTGAGTACTTCTGTGCCTGCCTGATTGGGGTGGTAAGTGAGGGTGACCGACTGAAGGAGAAAGGCGTAGAACTTTACTGTAGGTGAGCGCGCACACGGCCAGCGCAGGCAGCTTTCGTGTATGTGGCGTACGGCTGGCCAGAAGCGTGTGCATATGTGTGTATGTGTGTGTGCCTGTTGGTTGTCTTTTTCCCCGTGCGTGCACGCAACGGGCCATGGTGCACAGCCCAGCCCAGCCCAGCCCACGCCCTCGGTATCGATGTGTGTGTGCGTGAAGCGCAGCGAGTGTCAGGAATGACTGTTTATGTCATATGGGAGGGATACGTGTGCCAAGCACATCCATCCATCCATCGATCGTGACAGTGACAGCGAGAGCAGGTGGGTAATTGGCTTAAGCGAGAGAAGAGAGAGGT